TCTGCTCCACATGGTGGGGGATGGTGGGCACCCCAGACAGCCTGGGAGGAGGGAGGACAGGGAGAAGGAGATGGGAGGGGTAAGGGTCGGGATACCTGCCCTCCCACCCTTGCGAGACTGCAAGTGGGAGCTCAGCCCCACGGCAAACCCAGGAACAGGATTGTGAGATGGACAATGTGTTGAATGAACCTAAAAAACACATCATGTCTGCAAAGGCTGGGCCAGGGATGGTCCTGCTGGGGAGCAGCCCCTTAGCTTTGGCTCAGGGCCCTGGGGGGAGGTTTCTAACGGCTCCAACACCAGGGGCTCAGCCTGGGTCTGAGGCCCGGCCCGGCATGGGTACTGGCCTTGCTCACCCCCTTCCCATTCATCCCAGACACCGTAGCTCGGGCCAGCCCTGGTCACCCTTGGCTGCTAAGGATGCGGAGGCTGGAGCAGCAGAGCCAGGGGATGCCGGGGCCGGGTACATTCCCAATGCCTTGTGGGATTGCACAGAGGGGTTTCTGTGGCTGGCATGGGGTCATTAGCCCATGGACATCACTGTCCCAGCTACGACTCGGAGGAGTATGCAAGCCGGACAGGCCTGCCTGCACACACTCAGCTCTGAGGAGCTGGTGGTGGCAAAGATGTGGAGAGCCCCAGGATGCTGTCTCCATATCTGGGGTCCCCAGGCAAACTCTGACATGGCTGTGCCAGGAGAAGGGGTTGAGCCCACCCGCCGGCCCACCGGCAGCACAGCAATGACTCCTGGCCGGCCTTAGCCTTGAATTTCTCCCCCAGGAGCTGCCAGCTTAGCCATGCCCCCAGCACAGGGCTATGCCTGTGGGGACACCTCTCTGCCCCATTGCTCACTCCCCAGCCCCCCAGGCAGTAGGTGGGCTAGGATGGGCCAGAACATGGGGGCAGGGGAAGGTCAGCAGCAAACGATGCCAGGAGCATAGCTGTGAGAGCCAACCAAGGGCCAGGGTGGTCACCGAAGGCCACCACACCTCCCTCCTCCACGTGTCCCCATACCCTGGCTGCCGTGTCCTTGTGGAGGGGTGGGAAGGTTTTCTCTCCATTGGAGCCTCAAAGGGGGTCCCTGAGGTCCTCTGTGTGCCAGTGCCCTGAACTTGAGAGACAGTGGCTGAGGTTGCAGCTATCCCAGCCCTGCATCCTCCATCCTGGGGGACAGATGCTACAAGAAAGCACCTCGGGGTCCTTTTACTCTCCCCTCACCACACATCAGGATGAGCCTCCTAGGTCTCACTGGGCCCCTTGAGATCAGGGGCTGCTCCCCACAGCTCATGCAGTGATGAACCCCAAGTGCCCATGCAGCTTACCTTCTCCAGGCATGGCCCCTCTGCCCACCCACTGGCCCAGGGGCTGGGCAAGGAGGGTGGCCGGCAGCTCATGGCCGACATGCTGGACATGCTCCCCGTGACAGGGCATGGCCAGGGCAGGGGAGGAAGCCAAGGCGCTGGCACCCATTGCAAGACTTTATTGGTTTCTAGACAGCATTGCTGGAGGGTTTGGGCTGGAGCCGGTGCTGGGGGCTCCTGGGGCTGGGGAAGGTCAGG